GAGGTTTAGATGGAATCCAAGCAGAATTTGCAATGAAACAATACAAGTCACATCGTTCTGTTCTAGAGACAGTATATTAGTCGCAGGACATTGCGGATCTACAGGGGGTCAAGTGTCACTCATATATAAAATTAATGATCTTCGTGCACAATTTTATATGTAAAAATGAAGAAAAAAATCACACCCATATACACAAACCTACCCGATTTAACCAAGATTGTTTCTTGAATTATAAAAAATAAAAATATATGGAAAACCCTTTATTTTGATATATTTTTTGCCAGGGTAAACAAATAAGACTTGAAGAAAATCTTAACATGAAGTTGGTCAACCAGTTCTATAAGTTCTATATAATAATAAATTAAGAAATTGGATAATGTTCACAATTTCAATCTTTGGACTTAATTTTTTTTACATAACAATAAGCACAACAGTTAAGTTCTAATTTCCAAGCTTTATTTTTAAATTACACGATTTGTTTATAGAAAAGTATTAACATAGCTTCAAATTTTGCTTTTTTAAATAAAAATGAATTTGCGTAACAGGCTCTTTTCAAGGACGGTTATTAATAAAATGGAAAGGATGTCAGTTGACTTTGGTTTTTTGGTGGTAAATATTTTTAAAGATACTATCACTATTTTTTTTTTCATCCATCAATTAATATTTTTTATATATATTTAGAAATGTATTTATTTATTAGTGGTTTTATCAAATATTTATCATCAATAATATTAGCAGGGTCTGATGGAGATGTTATTAATATGTAATATATATAAGTTAAAATTAAAAGAAGAGAGAATTTTGTTTTAATGTTTTTATTTATACGTATATATATAATAATAATTATAAATGCTTTAACACTCTAATATTAATTCCATCAAGTATAATGATTTATACATACGTATATAAATGCTTTAACACTTTAATATTAATTCCATCAACTCCGCCTAAATAATTGATAAAAACATTCATCAGTATAATGATTTACACATACGTATATATATAATGTATAAATGCTTTAACACTTTAATATTAATTCCATCAAGTATAATGGTTTATACATACATATATATGTAATGTATAAATGCTTTAACATTTTAATATTAATTCCATCAACTCCGCCTAAATAATTGATAAAAACATTCACCAGTATAATGATTTATACATACGTATATAAATGCTTTAACATTTTAATATTAATTCCATCAACTCTGCCTAAATAATTGATAAAAACATTCATCAGTATAATGATTTACACATACATATATATATAATGTATAAATGCTTTAACACTTTAATATTAATTCCATCAAGTATAATGATTTATACATACATATATATGTAATGTATAAATGCTTTAACATTTTAATATTAATTCCATCAACTCCGCCTGAATAATTGATAAAAACATTAATCAGTATAATGATTTAGAAAGACTTTTATTTATATTTAATATTAATAATCAAGGTTTATTATACTTGCTTTATTCATTCTTCTCATGCTATAGTGAAATCTAATTTCATCGTTTTTTATTTACTGCAGTTAATTTTTATCAAATTATATACAAGGACAAATATAAGCAAGCTACAAACAAGCTAATATAAGTTTCATTTTTTTTTATTAAATTTTAAATTATATACAAATAATAAATTTCAATTTTTTTATTAAATTTTGAATTATATACAAATGTAAATTTTTATATACAAATTAGAAAAAAAGAAATTAAGTCCAATATATTAAGTTTAAGTGTTGGATTTCCAATTAGTATTAGCTTCTTGGGGATTTTTCTGTAGCTCCTTGGGGTGGCTCCTGGGTTGTATCTAAATAGAATTAGATGAAGGTTAGTCAAAAATATGACTAAACAAGCTGAGAGACATTAGGAAGGACGTTCACAGCAGGCCGTCCACCGTACGCTGGGCCTATGTATCCAATCAGGTCTGGAATACCCACTCAGAATCAGATACCCAGGGTTGATACCAAATCAGATGCCCCAACTGGTAACTTTCGCAAGCTGTGGCCACGATGTGCTTCCAGTTCCTATTTAAGGCCCCAAATAACTTCCATAGACCCGGAACAATCATATACATTCCAGGACCAGTCCAACCAGACTGTTCCCAAAATTTTAGGATAATTGTGAACCCCAGATGTAACCGAAGCAACCTAGACAGGCTCAGGGAATTGTCAACATATATACAATCATCATAGGGCCTATTTCCGTTGAGAGTACATGACTGGGTAATGAATCAATCGTCACATATGCAGGCCGTCCACCGTACGCTGGGTCTACACAGAAATTTCAAGTCCTGATACCCAACTGGTAACTTTCGCAAGCAACAAGTTCATGAATCATGTTTATGGGGACACAAGTTTCGCTTTGATCGGGACTTCTCAGTACTTGCCTTTAGTACTTGGTTGCTGTTTCAACTTTACAATAAGTTGATGTCAGGTGTTGTTGATACAGGGGATTTGTCTTCATGTAGAATATTTTAAAAAAGAGAAAAAGAAAGAGCTTTTTTATAAGAAAATGAATCTTATGAACAAACGCGTTGCAAGTAAAATAATAACAAAAACAAAAAACAAACTAAAAATAATAATAATAACACAAAAAAATAATTTAATTAATAAAAAATTCCAAGATGTTCTAGTTTAGTTAGATTCATTCACACATAACTGAGAAAATCTATAATGAGTATATCTATTTTTATATTCTATTTTTATATTTTTATTTTTGAATTTAATCTTTATGTACGTTCCTTTTTTGGTCTTTGTGTTTCTGGTCTAGCCTAATAAAGAAAGATTGACTTTTCTCCGATCATTCCTTTTAAGGTAGGACCCTGAACATCCGATTCCTTTTCGGGATAGTCTGGTATTGGATTCAACGACAATTTGAATATTTTTGAAGTTTTATTAACAAATTAACAACATAACAACAACTACGATTATTAGAGGCATGTGATGTTTCATTTTCAGAGATTCATTAGTTTTCCATACTTAATGCTCTGGCTTTATTGTATTTATTTATCATTATTAATTCTTTGTATTCATAATTATCAAACAATAAAATTAACTACTACTATAGTTGTTTGCCTTAATAAAATTTCATTGTAATAGTTGCCATAATCAATTGAATTCTTTAAGTAAATGGCATATCAAATATCAAATGTGTGACTAATAAAAGTTTTAAAAATAGTAAATGTGGATGAAAATCAGGGTTTCGGCTTTTACACTAATTAATACTGATACCCATGAAAGGCCGAAATTACCAGTCACAGGATCTAAAAATAAAATTCAAATTAATCTTCCACATAAATAGAATGTCAGATAGTATATAAGAGAAAGTTTTTGGAGGTGAGAAAAGATAAGTTTGAATTAGATATATTATTAAATAAATAAAAAAAATTTATTCTCAATCATTAAATATATTATATCCACATTACCTAAAAAAAATATTAAAGAACATGGAATCATTTACTGATATGAATGTTGAAATTTTAGATGAAAATATTGTCAATTTGGATGATGATGACAACTATGATGATGATTCTGATGACAACTATGATGATGACTCTGATGACAACTATGATGATGACTCTGATATACTTGTGTATGATTATTCTTCACTTGATAAAGCCAAAGAGAGTATTAGTTGCTTACTAGATGAAGATGAGGAGGATGATGATGATAATAATGTTAGTGATAGTGATGATGATGCTAATATTACTGATGAAGAAAAAGAAGATGAAGAATATGAAACAAGGGAAATACCAAATGGTAGTAATAAAGAATTGACTCCCTGTGTTGTAATTGATAACATTGATGGGGTAATACAACAATGTAGATCCACTAATAGAGTGAGACGTTTAGGACAGCTTGTTGGAGTATGGGAGGTAGATGAAACTGCTGTTAGAAGTTGCGATGATCTAGTGAATGAATTGGGTGTATGTTATGATCATTTTTTGCAGGATCAAAATCACATTCATTCAAAAGGAGCTAAACAAGAAGTAAATATTGAAAAAAGCCTTGTACAATTTCGAAAATGCCTATTTTGTAACCAGAACAAAGCTTTTTTCACACGAAGGAAAACATGTGTTGAGCATTGCTGGAATATCATTGGAAAAAATATTCAACTTCCATGCAATGCACAGTATAAATGTAAAGTATTCTCACCTAACTCAACTGCAAGTATGACTAAATCTGTCTATAGGCCTCGGTTTATTTGTTGTGATTGTTTTAATCAACATGGCGGTCATTTAAAACCAAGATCTGGAAAGGGAATACCATTTAAATTATGTGATGATCATGATAATGATGTATCCAGTTCCTTACAATATATAAGTAAATGGATTTTAGAAGTATCTCATAGCAGTGATCAAGGATATAAAGAAAAGGTACTTAACTACTTGGCTCCAGCTTTATCTGTGCTCAATAAAGATTCACCAAAATTTCCCGAAAACATAAAATTGGAACCTTCAAAATCTACACAACCAGAACATTCAGAAGAAATCAAAGTTCCTCGTCTATTTCTTATAAAAACCATTTTAAAATTAGCCAAAGTGAACCTTACAGATGGAGAAAGGGCTTCTAATTTGACCTCAGGAGAATTCTATGATCATGGAAAAACACTTGCATTAGCAATTTGGAAAAACAAGAATATTCTTTCAGAAAATTCTGATCAACTTTCCCAACCTGAATCTTTAGAAAAATATATAAATGCATTTCCACCTTGCTTGACAAGTTTTTTTAGTGGAATGGTTGAAACAATAAGTATTAAAAAACAACTTCGACGTAGAAATCCAATCTCCAATCCTAACAACAATCAAACAATAAAAACAACAGCATTTCTTTCATCTGTAGTCATAACACATTCATTTAAAAAAAATAAAATATGGCTTACCCAAATTCTAGCAACATTATGTCGCAGACCCAAGTTATTAAGCTCTTTATATCAAGTGCTACTGGCTGGTGGTATACTTCCCCATACAATAAGACATGAACGTCGTTGTGAAAGTGATTCAATGGAAGCTGCAGATCCAAGGAAACATTTAATTTATGGTCCTAGAATATGGAGTGTTGCTGTAATTGACAATATTGATTTCAAAGATTCTACTTTCTTTTCAGGAAATATCTTTGATGCAACAAGAAATAGTGTACATGCAGTTGTTCGAATCATTTTTCAATTTAACTTGCAAGAACTTTTGAGTAATATTATGAAGGAACAATCAAAATGGTCAAGAACATAATCTAATCTGTTTGAATCTTCAGAATTTATTGAAGAATGGGATGAGATAAAAAATAATACCTTTTCTGAATTATTAAAAATACATGGAAGAGATTTAGATGTACTTCATATACATGATGAAATTACTCACCATTATTTACAAAAATCATCTACACTCCTTGAACCTCCTAATGTTGTAATACTCAAGGCAGGACCTGAACCTAATAGTGATAAAAATGTTTTTGCAACATGTGATCTGTTTGAGGAAGATCTTCTTTCAAATGATACTGAAGTAAAAAATGGTTATGACAAACGTCTTGACATAGTTGCTGATGAAGCTATTTTCCGAAGACTTGTACGTTATAAGAAAGGTCATCCAAAGGTTTTTCCAATGCTTGGTCAATTTCATACAAATAAGGAAATGCTTGCTGTGCTCATTTCTGCCTTTTCAGGATATGGTATTTTTAACATTGCAGCCAAACTTGGTTCCAGATTTTTAGATAAATTAGATGATGTTGCTGATTATAGAGCAACTTGTAGAACCATAGAGTTATTGTGGGTTGCCACTGGAATAGCAATTAACCTGTATGTGGAAGAAAAAAAAATATCAATAAAAGATATACTACAGGAAAATAACAATATTCTGAAAGTTTGGTACTTATTCTACAAATGGGCTGGATATTGGAAAGGTCACAAGGTTGGAATTAGGACAGGCAATTTCAACATGCAGATAGAGAATTTAATAGCTTTTGCTCCATTATTTCCAGTAACTGGCAAATATAATTATTATAGAGCAACTGTTAATTTCCTTGCCTACCTTTGTAAAAATCCTGATCAAGTGAATCTCTTGTCAAGAGTATGTTCTGTGAATTTGTCAAGAGAAGGGAGTTACTATGCATTTGATGAGGCCATGGAAATATATGGAATAAAATATATTAAGCAGAATATAAGTCAAAATCCTACCTCGCAAGAAAATCTTATGAAGGAAATTAAATCAATGCAATCAAGGAAGGAAAAAATTAATATGTTTTTTTCTGAATTTTTGGGTGACAATGTAACTAATACCAGAAGTAAAAAAGTAGTTAATAGTCGTAAAGAGAGTCTCTGGTTACTTATAGATGATCTCTACAATATATTCAATGGCACAATTCCATTGAATGATTCTTTGTTTAAAGATGTTAAGGAATTTAATGATGAAGGGTTAAATAATATATTTACCTGTTATAACAAAGGAATCCAGCGACTTTACACTATGTTAAATGAAGAAGTACTTCAAAATTTAACAATTAAAGGAACCGGTATGAAGAACATTTCTCTGTACAAATGGAATGACCTAAATAAAGAAATAAATGAAAAGAAAAAAAAATCAAAAAAAGCCAAACAACCAAAAAAAATTAATCCTGAATCTATGATAATTGACATTGAAACAGTAAATACAACTATTGAATCCTCCAACATACCTCCTTCAACAGATCTTGAACAACCTCCACCAACAAAAAATACAAGATATAGACCATCTAAGGATGAAAAAAAAATCCTTGAAAACCTTGCTTCATTTAATGAGACACCATCAATGGATAAAATTGATGCTGTATTGAAATCATTACTCTTGCTTAATCCAGGTTATTGGAATGTGAGAAAAGTGAAAGAATATTGGAGACACAATCTTGGACCTAATCGAAGAAAATCAAAAAAAAATCAAACAGAAATGGAGTTATAATTATTTTATTATTATATTTTTTTTCCTTAATACATACATATTAATATCTTAAAATATTTAATAAATGAATTAATATTAAAATTATTATTGGAATGTTATAATTATTTTATTATTATATATTTTTTTTCCTTAATACATACATATCTTAAAATATTTAATAAATAAATGAATTAGTTTTAAAATTATTATTGGAATGTTAAAATTAATATAAATTTATATTTACATCAAAGTTATTTCCAGTTTTATAATTAAAGTCAAAATTTTCTAACACAACCTTCCAAGTAGTTATAAGCGACTTTGTAAGGAACACTTTGGCATGACTGTTGCCACTGAATTTGTTTTAATCTGCATATTAATTGGAAGATTTGTTTTAATCTACATATTAATTGGAAGAAATCTTAAAATAAGTGTGAAGAAATAAATACTTCGAACCTGGTGTAGAATAACCAATATTTAAGCTAACCTTTTCTTTTAACTGTTGTTAGCAGTTAATAAATAAAGAATATATTTGTAAAAAACCAAGGTTTGTTTGCTATATCCACTCTCATTAAT